TGTCCAGAGATACGGATGCCAAGGTGATGTGATGGGGGTGATGTGGTGGGTTTGATGGATGGGTTGGGTGGTGGGTTGTGGTGATGGTAAGTGATGATAATGGTAATACTGAGGGTAATGATGATGATAAAGATAGTGATATAGCAATAATAATGATAGTGATGATAATAATAATACTGATGATGATAATGATAATAGCTATAAGAGAAATAATGATAATAATAAAAACACAAAAAAACAAACAAACAGCAACAGGACCACCACCACCACCACCAGCAACACAGCTACCATAAAAAGAGAAAAAAACAAAAACAAACAAAGGAAAACTAAACAAGCCCCTCCTTGCGCACAGATCCTGGAGCGCGAGACAGCCGCCGTCCGGGAGTGGCTGAGGACGAACCGCTCCTTCCACGTCATGAGGGACCACCATAACCACTGCGCCCACGTGATGGGGGGCATGTGGGGCATGAGGATGGATGTTGCGGATAGGAAGCGAGGAGGAGGAGGAGGAGAAAAGGAAGGAGGGAGAGAAGCAGGAGGAGAGGAAGAAGGACGGGGTGGGAAGGAAGGCGGTAGTAAAAGAGAGAAAGGAGAAGATGGAAAGGGAAAGGAAGGGGAAGGAAAGAATGGCAAAGAAAATGCAGAAGGAGGAGGAGGAGGAGGAGGCACCGAAGCCCTCTCCTCCTCCGGCAGGGACTTCTTCGCCTCCGTCAGAAACAGCATCATACAGCAGGGATCAGGGTTCCATAAGGATGATAACGACCAGGGCATCTTGGGCGTGAGTTGGAAGTTATTTTTAGTTCTATTTTAGCTCTATTTATCATATTTTTATCATTATTATTACTTTGTTATGCTTTATCATAATTGTTATCATTAATTTTACTATTATTGTTGTTTATCCTTTTTTGTCATGTTTTTTTAGATTCACTTTGTTTTTCATTAATATTCTTTAAAGATGTGATATTCATGATTATAATTTTCATCATTAATCAAATTATCTCCTTTGATTGGATTTTATTTTTACTAAGATGGCATTCTTTAAATTATAATTCTGCTTATTCGAATACTTTCAGAAATTATATATTTTAACTATTTCATTACTTTCATGATTAATTCAAATGATTCAATTATTCTTTTATGAAAAAAAAACTTTTGATATTCTTTTTACAGGCATCGATGATACAAATATGTAAATTAGAAAAAAAAAATGTTTTTATTAATTAATTAATTCTGAAGAGGCTTGTAAATAGCTCTTAAAATAGTTAAAACAAACTTGTTTACAACAATAGTTTAAAAAACAAACACAGTAACATAAACAAAACACATTCTTGAACATATTTATATTAAAATATTTAACCGATATGTAAACCTCACACAATCCCTTTCATTAACACTCAACACGACTGACTGATCCCTTAAAATTATCAGCCGTGACGACAGCCAAGCTAAGCAGCTAATACCTTGTGGAATTAAGATGTTTAAAACGTTTAATATATCTAAAACGTTTAATTAAGTTGTTTAAAAACGTTTAATTAAGATGTTTAAAACGTTTAACATATCTAAAACGTTTAATTAAGGTTTAAAACGTTTAACATATCTAAAACGTTTAATTAAGGTGTTTAAAACGTTTAATTAAGATGTTTAAAAAGTTTTACATATCTAAAAACGTTTAATTAAGTTAAAACGTTTAACATATCTAAAACGTTTAATTAAGGTGTTTAAAACGTTTAATTAATAAAACGTTTAACATATCTAAAACGTTTAATTAATTAAAACGAAGATGTTTAAAACGTTTAACATATCTAAAACGTTTAATTAATTTAAAACGTTCAACATATCTAAAACGTTTAAAACGTTTAACATATCTTAAAACGTTTAATTAAGGTGTTTAAAACGTTTAACATATCTAAAACGTTTAATTAAGATGTTTAAAACGTTTAAGAGCTTCTAACTGACCTCGTTTCCCTTTGCAGAAAGTGCTCTGGTCAACGTTTAAGACTGACCTCGTTTCCCACAGTAGCTTCTGCTGTGAAAAATTTCCTGAAGGTTTCACTCCGTTTCCGACACAGCGAGTCGAGAGGTCCTTTGTGGGGAATAAGGAGTAAGTGTATGTGGCAACTTGGGTAAATAAGGAGTAAATTGGGTAAATAAGTTGTAAATAACTATAGAAATTGATATAAAAAGATATATGAATTATATAAATGAATATAAAGTTATAGAATTGATTATGGAAATAAATATGAATTATTTATAGAGAAGTACATAAATAAAGAATTTAATTGCATATTAATGGATTATAAATAAGTTAAAGATAAGTAAATAAATCAGTTATAAATAAGCAAATAAATCAGTTATAAATAAGCAAATAAATCAGTTATAGATAAGTAAATAAATAAATTACGTAAAAAAGGAGTATGTGATATGTGAGGTTCCAATTAGTGTTAATTTCTTCTTCGTTATGTTTTTAATCATTATCTTGCGTTCGTCTCTCTCACTCTCG